CTGACCCCGTCAAATTCTCTCAAACCAATTGCTCCTCCAGTATTCCCTCTGTAAGTAACTGGCATCACCCAAGTCAGAAACCTGGGCATCTTATCATCATTCAACAACCTCTACCCATATCTAATCAGTGTCCAAGTCTTAACCAGTCTCCTCACCTCCAAAACATAACTCTAGTCCAAGCACCATCATCTCTCACCAGACTAATCTTTCTAAAAAATCACAAGTTCTAAAATCTAAATCACAAATGTCACCCTTCTGCCTTAAAAGCCTGAAGAGGGTTTTCATTGCCATAGGAGAAAGCCTACTAAACTTAATACAGTTCGTGCGACAGATTGTATTTTCCAAAGATGTGTTGACAATATCTCCCATCCCACATGCTTTTCACACAATGTGACTTTGGCATTCCACCCAACAAGAGGTAGGGTCTGTGCCTCTACTCTTGAAACTGGATAGTCTTCTGTGAATGTTTCTACCTAGAGAGTATGGCAGGAGTGACACCATGTGACTTCTGAGGCTAGGTCATAAAAGGCAAGGAAAAATCCACTTTGGTTACTGGGATACTCATTCTTGAAGCCTTCAGCTGCCAAGTAAACAGTCCAACAGCTCTGAGGCTGCCATTATGTCAGGAAGCACAACATAGTCCGTGTGATCATGACCACAAGGAAAGGCCCTCACACGACTTGAAGAAAAAAGATGCCCAGCTAGTCCCCATCTTCTTCAGCACTCCCCTGTTCCAGCTCCTGCCACCATCTGACCACAACCACATGAGAAACCCTGAGTCAAAACTGCCCCACTCAGCCCTTCCCAAATTCCTGAGCCACAGAAACATGAAAGAATAAAATGACTATTGTTTTAAGCTTCTAAGTTTTGGGTGATTTGTTACATAGCAATAATAACTAGAACAGCTTATAACAACCTATCCTCCAACCTCCATTTACTTCTGCAGGCCAACTCGCAACCTTCCTACCTTAAACACAACGCTGCCGCTCGCCCTAAACTCCCTTCAGTGTCTCAAAGATACCCTCCTTTCTTGTCCTCAAGTTTTTATACATTCTGTTCTTGCTGCTCTGAGATGCTCCTCTTCCCTCTCTACTCTTAGTTAATTCTTCATCATTCAGGTATCAGCTTAAACTTTATTACAGAGAGTTCTAAACTCCTAGATTAGTTCAGGTCTCCTCCTGTTGGCTCCCTGTGCCTCACAAATCACAACACTCATCATAATCCATTGTAATCGTGTTGTATTGCCCATCCTGCCCCCTTCAGCATGCACATGCACACACATGTGCATATGCACACACACACACTGAGAGCTCCATAAGGACAATGACCAGTGTTAGGAACTGCACTTGGCTAGTGCTTCAGGAATATTTGTTGGATGCTCAATCTCCAAGCTTGAATCCTTAGCATCACCTCTAAGAGCTCCCACACCTCCCCCACATCCAGAAGTCCTAGAAATTCCACCTTACAACTATTTCTTTATCCATCCCCTCATCTCCATTCCAAAGGCCCTGCCCACAGTGCAGGCCTTCACTACCATTCATGTGGATTCAGGTTTCAGCTTCCTAAACCGGTCTGCCTACCTTCCATCTCCCACTTTTTCCAAAAACATTCTCCACATGGCCACCAGGGTTCTTCTTCCAAGTAAATCTGATTTCACTTCCCCACTTAAAATCAATAGATTCCCCCTGCTTTCAAGATAAAGTCTAATCTGTTTAGGCCCCATGTAAAACCCTCCTTGAGCTGACCCTGGGTTACATTTCCAGTATCTGCCTCCTCGGCCCTGTCCCACCCCACATTCTAGCCATACCAACTACCTGGAATTCTCTGAACATTCTGTTTGCCTTTTGGCACCTCCACACAGTTTCACATGCAATTTCCTCTGAGAGATGTCCTAGGATTTAGCTACCTATCTTTTCAAAATTCAGTTCAGACATTGTATTCTCTGTATCATCTTCCTAAGCTCTCCTCCTGAGAAGAAAGTTGTCTTGCTTGCTCCTATGGCACCTCTTTCATACTTGTTATATTGCATGACAAATATTTGGTTTTGTTCTTTGTTTTTGTTTTGTTTTGTTTTTGAGGAATATTAGCCCCGAGCTAACATCTGCTGCCAATCCTCCTCTTTTTGCTGAGGAAGACTGGCCCTGAGCCAACATCCGTGGCCATCTTCCTCTACTTTATATGTGGGACGCCTGCCACAGCATGGCATGCCAAGCAGTGCCATGTCCACACCCGGGATCCGAACCAGCGAACCCCGGGCTGCGGAAGCAGAATGTGCGAACTTAACTGCTGTGCCACCAGGCCAGCCCCCAATTATTTGTTAATATGTCTGTCTCCCTCACAGACTATGAGTTCTTGCATGGCAAGGGCCACACTTTATTTTTCTTTGCTTCTCAGCACTAACTAGAATATTTAGCACCTAGCACATAGTATGCCCTAAATGTTTCCTGAATTAAAGTTCTACATTAAAGCCCTTCTCTTGCTAAATCTGAAGGTTTAGCCTAAGTCCTCACTTTGTGCATGGGTTTATGGCATATCTTTGAGACAACTCTGGTAGAGTGAAAAGTCCACCAGACTTGTGTTTGAGGCTGGGTTCAATTGCTGCGTGACCTTAGGCCAGGTGTAGTGACTGTCTGCTTCCAGGCTCCTGTGAGAATGAAATGAGATTCACTGAAAACCACAAATCACGACTCAAGTGTAACGTATTGATGATTATTATGTTTAAAATTACTCTCTCTCTGGGCTGCTTATAGGACTTCATTCTCTATGTCCCTCTGAAGTTATTAATGATAGATCTGGAAGAAGGTTCAGAAGGGCACCAAGACTGTAAGAATTTAGGGACATGTGATTCATGAGTTTCTTCCTTCAGTCATCGTTTAATGAGCACCCGGTACAGGTCAGATGCTGAGACCTGTGAGGACAGTCTGTCCAGATGCTTCCTACGCAGCAATGTCTCCTTTATCAAGCCATAACTGCTCAGGAGAAAACCAAGAAGAAGGAACAGGAAAAGGGCTGTAAACAGCCAAGAAAGATCATAATTTTAAGCATAATAATCATCGATATGTTACAGTTACAGTTAAATCATGATTTATGGCTTTCACTGAATCTCATTTCATTCTCATGATAGCCCGGGGGTAAACAGTCACTGCACCTGGCCTAAGGCCACACAGCAATTAGATTGAACCCAGCCTCAAACACAAGTCTGTGCATTTTTCACTCTACAGAGTTGTCTCAAACATACGCCATAAATCCATGCACAAAACTCTGTGTCTTTTATTCACTGGGGAGCCACGCAGACTAATCATAACTGTGCACGTATTCTTACAAGGGTGTACATATGTGCGGATGTGTATGTGGGTGTACAAGAGTTTGAGTAAGTCTCTGTTCCCAAATTAGAAGCAGCAAAATAAAAAGGGGTGACTGATGGAAGTAGGCACATGCCAGAAGCAAAGAACGACTGCTGTCAGAGATGACACAGATCAAAAAAATAAAACCTGATAAACTAAAGTCTGAGGCCACCGAGGAAGCAAACATTCATCCCCACCCGAGTGGCCTGGGAAGGCCTCATAGTCATACAAGAATTGAGATTTGCAATGGTAACCCCAAGTCACAAAAAGAAATGTCAAGTTATGAAGGAAAGCAGACATATCATCGGTGTTAAAGACATTCCAACAAAGATGCTTAAAATAATAGAACTCTGGTGTTTAAAGGGATGCAGCCAACTTGGAAATTTACTTAGATGGAATAATCCTTACCCTACAAAAGGTTTGTAACTATGTACTCACATTTGGGGGGACCCGGAGACCGACAGATCCTAAAATTAGTTTCACTAGTAAGTCAACCTACCAGATCATCTGTAAATGATGCAAGAGAAATTACAGATCACATTTAGGACCTCAGGGGAAAACTCCCTTCTTGCAACACAAGGCAGTGCCTTCCACCCTTCCCTGACTGTTGCCATGCGTGACAAACATCTCCACACACACAAAGATGAGTCTGAGCCACACACACGGACCCACAAAGCACAGGAGGACCCCAGAGAGGACAGCCAGCTCTCTGCCCAACAGTAAAAACAGGGAGGCTGGAGAAGAGGCTGAGGAGTAAAATGGGGCAGTGGAGAAATTGAAAGAAAAAGGGATATGAGGCTGATTGGAGAGGGGTGATCCAGAAAGCAATTGCACTGGTACAAAATTCTTCCTGCGCCCCACTGCTGCTGGGGCAGCTGCCCCTTAAACTGACAGAATTTCTGAGCTTCTCCACAGCTAGGGGGTGGGAGGAGTCTCCAAGGCCCCAGGGTCTTCCAGGCTGCGAGGGGATTTTTCCAGAACAGAGCCACCTGAGGGGTGGAGCTGTAGAGGATCAGCCCCTTGGTAGCTCCAGTGCGGCTCTGCTGAATGTACAGATTTAAATATTTATGAGACGGAGAAAAAGTCAAGGTGGATTGAAAGGACAGTTTTAAGAATCTAGCCCACAGAAAAACTCAGGCAAATGCAAAAGGATATTCACTAGAGCACTATGGGTAAGACTGAAAAACTGGAACCAACTTAAATGGCCACTAACAGAGGACTGATTAGTTAAATAAAGAACTCATCCTTAAAATTAACATGGAATTACATGACGCACTTAAAAAAGTAGATCTGTACGTAGAAAAGAGTTCTGGGGAGAAAGCAAGCTGTAGAATTATATGTGTTCTATGATTCTATTTTTGTAAAACGTAGAACAGAACTATGTCAGAAGGAGCAAGAAAAAATCAGGAAGGGCACGCAAACTGCTAATGGTGTTTACAGAGGGAAGTTGGGGGAAAGATAAATTGCTTTTTTTTTTTTTTAACACTTTGGTATTGTCCCAATTTTTACACAAAGCACACATTAATTTAATAACAAAAGCCAAAAAAAGTGTTTGTCAAAGCATTCCTTTCCATCTCCTTCTTACTGGCTGACTGGACTCACATCCTGACTCTGCCCAGGGCTCCACCCCACACCTCCTGCCCTAGCCCCACTTACAGATGCAGGCAGCAGCCAGCAGGCGGCCGGCAGCATAGGGGGCGAAGCAGCTGGGGAAGAGGGGCTGCACCATGTAGTTGGCAAAGGTGATGGCAATGACGGCCTGGCTGGTGGGCTCGATGATGAGGAGGGAGGTCCAGAGTCGGATGAAGGCAAGAAGTCCCCCGAAGGCCTCGAGGATGTAGGCGTAGCTGGCTCCAGATTTCTTAATGGTGGTGCCCAATTCCGCATAACAAAGGGCCCCAAAGACAGAGAAGAGGCCCCCTACGGCCCAGATGATTAGGGAGAGGCCAAAGGAGGCACTGTACATGAGCACGCCCTTGGGGGAGACAAAGATGCCCGAGCCAATCATGTTCCCCACAATCAGGCACACGCCATTGAGCAGTGAGATCTCCTTCTTCAGCTTTACCTGCTCAGCCCCTGGGCTGGCCTCGTCGGCTAATGGGGAGGCATCGCTCTCATGCTGGGAGGCCACTTGATACTTAACACCGTCAACCATGGTGGAGGAAGAGAAGAAAGACTTCACCAGCTTCCTGGCATTGCCCTCTAAGGAAGAAAAATGAAGATATATAACCATCGTTTGGAGGGGTGGTTGGCAATTGCTTAGAACTCTCTCCCACAGGGGCCAGTATGGGCAACCTGTCCACTGCCCACCATTTCAGAGACCTCTCTCTTGCCTCCCACCTCCCATTGACCTCTTCTTCTCCAGCTGGCTCATCAAAATGACCCCAACTTGAATTGTTGAGGAAGGCACTCATTCCCCAAAGAGAAAGCATCTGTTTCCCATCGTTAGGCTGGTGCTGCCCACCTGATTTACAAAACAGAAAACAAAATCCTCGTTTTATCTGAGCCTGCTGTGATATGAGACAGGAATAAGGGCAATTTGACAGTTCCCAGGTATAACCATAACTATTTGAGCCTACATTTTTTAGCCTTACCCCAAAAAAGTCTGTCTTCCCTCCAATTTCAGTATACCTGTCACCTGTGCTGAGATGCAACCTTAGGAACCAACCTTGCAGGCAGCTAATCTGTGGGTTCTCCTTACCACACTGCTCTGTTCCCGAAGGACTCCAGCTCTGAAAAACTTCAAGACTTCAGATCTCTTGCTGGAAACCCCAACCGTTCCCTCTGCTCAGGGAGCATCCCCTAACAACCCTTAGGTGAAATCTCCAGCCCAAGCAGCCCTACCCCACCCTGAAAGAAAACAGGTTAGGCTCCTCTTTTCATTGCTTTTCTGTCCCCAGACAACTTTCCCAGTCCCTAGTACTCCAGGCCTACTGTCATCAAATCCCTCACTTCAGCATAGCTGCATCGCCAAAAACAGTATGAATGAGATAAGGGCAATCCAAATGCACAGCCCAACCTAGAGGTGATTGGAGGCAGCTGATGGCCGCTCCCCACCCAGGAGTTGCTACCAGAGAGACAGCACCCAAAGCCGAGGCAAAGAAACAGCTGAAGCGGGCAGCTGATGCTGGGCACCGCAGAGCAGGAGACAGCTGAGAGGGAGACAGGCAGGGCTGAGGGGGAGGGTGGGAAGCACACTCACTCCCTGGCCCTGGGGTCAACAGGTTCCCGAGGTGGCCAGCGGCAGTCACAGGAGACGCAGCCTCGCGGAACTATGGTCTGAAGGCTCTTCCTTTTCAGCCAGCAGTAAAAGGAAAGGCGAGGCAAATGCTTATGAATTTCAGTCAAATCAAGAAGTCAAGAAAGGCGGAGCGGGAGGGAAGAGGACAGGAGGGTTAAGCAACTGTCTGGGTCCAAGGTTCACTGGCCCTTCACATCTGCAAAAGGGGTGGCTAGGAGCCCTTGGCTCAGCACTTTCTGTGATAAGATGACGCTCTCAGGAATCTCCTTTGTCAGCTCTGCTCCAGGACTGAGGGCCCAGAAGAGAGGAGGGTAAGCTGGGTGCAGTTTCTACAGCTTTAGGGAAGCTGTCCTTCAGCAAATTAACTGAGGACAGGGCGGTGGCTGAGAAAGAATGCACAGCCCTCTCTCTCTGTCCTCCAGGCCCCACCCTAGCCCACTTCTCTCTCCCCCACAAACAAGAAAGGCAGGAAGGTTGCACACAAAGGCTTGTTCACATGCTGAGATTGGAGGAAGTGTAACTGCTGTCCCTCCACCCCGTGACTGGGCGTCCTGAGACAACTCTGACACTTCCCCACACAGAGTGTGGGGTGGCTACCCCTACACTTGGGTCATTACCCCAAGGGTGAGCCTCAAGCTACTTCCAAGGAAACAAGGTTAAGAAATATGACTCAAGCCACTGGCTGCATCCCCATCCGACTTACATGCCCTTTTATCCTTAAGAAAACATACCAGGATCTTTGGGGTAAGCACAAATTACAAGTTCACTCCAATTTCCTAAAAATATGGGGAATAAGATTTCATTGGGCTATCCTGGACAGACAGGCCTAGAACAGACAGAAGTAGTTGAGCAATTTTTGGAAATCACATAGAGTATTCTATCTTAGTCTACTTAAATCTGGTATTCAGGGTCTCTTTTACCAACAGAAGAAATACACCCTATCCATTCTGAAATCCAACTGTCTCTTCTCACACCCTTCCTAACTCTCTTTGGTTATTCTACAACCAGAGAAAGAAGATCTAAAAATCCCTGGGGTGTCCTTATCTCTACCCTACATCCTCCCATTCTAGCCCCTTAAACTTTTTTTAAACCAAGCAAGGGATTCTGGTGCTAGCCTTCCCAGAGATCATGCTTCTCTCAAGCGACTCTCACAAATGTCTGAAATCCATCCAGAGGAGACTGTCCTTTTCTCCCAGCTCCCCCGATACACTCGTATGACGATAATAGCTGTCATTTATTGAGCACTTACCCGGGCCAGACACACAGCTAAGCACCTAAATGCCTTATCTCACTCAGTTCTCCCTGCAGCCCCTTAAGGCAGGCACTAAGTCACGTGCCAGGGTCTGACCTGGGAGGAAGTCGGGGAGGCTCAACCACAGAGCCCAAACTCAGAACCGCACTGTGCTCTCTTCCCAACCTCCCCGGTCTCTAGGCTTTCCTCTCAGACGCAAAAGCACTTCAGATGGCTCCCTAATGAATTACCTGGGGGAGGACGTGATTAGATTAAAAGGAAAGCTGCTGTGTCCTTCCGCCTGAAGCCTGGGCTAAAGGCTTCAGTGGAGAGCCCATCCATCTCCTTCCTGGCTGTTCCTCCCCTTTCTCATCCCTTTGCAGAGATGAGAGGCGATCACAACGCCTTGGCAGCGCTGCTATTGCTAGGGAGCCCACTTCTAAAGCAAACAAAAACACACGGAAATACATCATCACGCTTGCCCTTTTAAGACCAAATTTACTGGCACCATGGGGTGGGTATGTGTCGTAATGGGATGCAAAGAAAAGGAATGAAGGAGGGATGCAGGAAGGGGAAACCATGAGGGGAAGTGGGGAGAGAAGTGTTCAGGGTTTAGTTCCTGGCTGGTGGTATCTCAAAAATTAAGTCCTCTTCACAGAGTCTTGAGATAAACCCACTGAGGGTGAAGCCCACACTCCAGCAAACAGCATGCCCAAGCGGTCTCACCAGGAAGTGCTGCGAGCGGAAACCTGCTAGCCTAGTCTTCAGTCAGCCCATGCAAACTGGGCAAGAGGAGGCTGTCCTTCACAGAAAAGATGCCCCCTCTTTTCTCCCCACTGCCTAGCACCAGCAGCCATAGGCAGGAAGGCACCATCTTTGGCAGCTCGCACTCCATCCTGAGACCCTGGCTCTCAGAGTAATGCTTCCACCCTTCAGACAGCCTGGGACCAGCAGGACCTCTCCTGAAGGGCTCTCCGCCCCAGGCTTTAAAGGAGAACCTTGCAGAGTCCGGAACCGCGGGAGATAACAGCGTTTCTGATATGCAGCACCCCTGTCTTATTCCTGTCTGAGGTGCATTCATCTCTGAGGACCTAGTGGAGGTTACAGGACACACACTCATCCTACAGACAGCCTGTGGGAGAAGTTTCAGATTCAGGGCTCCAGGGAACACAGTGAGCAGGGCCCCCAGCATGCAGTACCTGGCATAGCAGGCAGTGGAGCTCCTCGCCCTGACTCCACCCGTGAATGGCAACACCAAAACACACTTCCTCCAGGAACCAGCACACAGTTCAGGGTCTTGGCTCCTCAGTCAAGCTCAGGGAGCTAAATGTGAGAAGACACTTTCTCCCGCAGAGACCCTATGTCCTGCCTTGCTAGCTCCAACTGGTCTGTCCTGCCTTCTCTATCAACAGAAACAAAAAACAAAGACTCTGGTACAGCTAGATTTCCCCATCACCCCAAGCTGGAAGCTCAGCTCCTCCCTCCCCAGTTCTCCACAATTTGTTTTTCTATATTCTACCCTGGCTACAACAGTCCCTTTAAAAAAAAAAAAAGTGAAACAAGAATTGTTTACTCCTGTGATGAGGGCTTCCATTAACGTGGGGCTGAAGTCTCTGGGCAGAGGACTCTGCCTAGAGAGGGCTGGGGCTGGGACCAGGAAACAAGAGGCTCTTGGGTCTCTGTTCAGCCAATTTTCAGGACACCCACTCCATCCTCCTCCTGCACTTCCCCTCTCACCCACTGTCCCTGGTCTCCCACCTCTTACCTGTCCCGTGACCTTTGGGCAGGTTGGAGGAGGAGGGGCTACCAGCACGCTTCTGCTGCTGCTGCTGCTGCTGCTGCTGCTGCGAGTGTGGGGGAGAGGCAAGTGCTAGGAAGGGGAACCCGGGTATGGCTCAAGCTGCAGCAGCTGTTGACTCTGAGGAACAGAAAAGGCAGAGGGTGACGGGGACCGAAATGGAAAACAGGAAAACACATGTGTGACTCTAGCCGGCAGTGGGGAGGGGCCAGGGGACGGGCTGAAGCTAGGACTGCCTGGTTAGACCCAGAGGACCTTGACGCCTGCCTTGCTTCCAGGCCCCTTCTCCACTGAGTCTCAGCTCCTCCTCCTCCCTACCTCAGCCCCTGAGCCCCCTCGTGGCCCCACAGTTGCTGAGCACTTAAGCTCTCCCAGCAACTTTCAGTGCCCTCCTGATGCCCTTTACAACTCTCCGCTTCCCCTCATTCTGTTTCCTAGGCATCTCCCACTCACATGTTGTCCTTGGTCCTGCGGAGGCCACAGGATTCATGGTTAGGGCCATGGAATTCTGCGGTCCCATCTCAAGAGTCTCAGTGCCATTTCAGTCTCTATGTAAGGCAATGCATGCCAAAGAGGCAATGCATGCCAAGAAAGGCCACTTGGGGAGTACAGCCAAACGCACACGAGAATCCTAAGCAAGCCCACACATGGCTCAGGTCCCCAATTGGTTTAGGTGATGTGTGTGTTGTCAGGTGAGAGCCAGCCAAGGGGACTAGAGCAAGCCTTCGCATCCTGGGCAGGCTGATGCATTGGCACCCCTTCAAACCAGGATTATGTAAATGTCTAGTGGATGTTGACATAGTAGAGGTGGGGGAATATTGATTTTCTCTCAGAATAAGAACGGTAAGCCTCATTCTTTCATTCAAAATTAGAGCTTATTACATGGATTCATTAAATGCAATTTTCTGAAGCTGACAATTTCTTGGTAGGCATATTAAACCATTTAAAATATAGACCATAGCATAAATCTCTCTCAAGGAGTGGCACTTCACAGTGCATGGCGCATTTTCAGAATTCCAGCTGTGACTGCTGCCTTTAAGCAACTACCAGCTGGCTGGTCTGAGGGCTACACCTCATAACTTGTACCTGCACCAGCACACTGTAAAATTATTCTAGAGACCGGTGGTCCAGGAAAGCAGTTATCAAGGATTCTGTCAGTGGATGGGAGCCAACTTACTACGTCACCAAGACACACAGACAGACACCAGAACTCATTGGCACCAAATGTCTGAATTACCCTAGAGATAATTTAGTGCCCTTTTAGACCCGGCTGCTGCCCAGCTGGCCTGTCCCTTAATCCTACTCTGGGGTCAGGTCCAAGTTGTAAACGAGGGAAGTCCTAGGAAGACAGCCCTAAAACTGCCCCTGTTGGTGTGGCCCCTGCTCTCTCTCCACTCCAGCCACACTGGCCTCCTTGCTGTGGCCACACAAGCACACTCCCACCTCAGAGCTTTTGTAATTGCTGTTCCCTCTGCCTGAAACATTCTTCCCCTTGATATTGCTCACTCCTTCACTCACTCCACTCGGGTCTGTGCTTAAACGCCATACTATCAGAGGCCTTCCCTGAGTCTCTGAAGGAGCAACTTCTCCCCTGGGTCAGTCTCCATCTCTTCACCATGCTTGACTCTTCACGGGCACTCACTGCCACTGAGAGTTTGTTTTTTTGTCACCTCCCCCACTAGAATGCAAGCACCCTGGGGAGCTTTATTCACCCTATATCCCCAGTACAGGGCATAGTGAACGGTCAAGAAATGTTTGCTGAAGAAGAAATGAATGAACAATTCTGTTCCTCCTAGACTGATTTCCCAGCTAGCTGGGCTCCGGCAACGTCCTTGAACTTGCCCTTCAGGCCCACCTACGCAGTTGCAGCTCTGGCTTCTAAGCAAGGAGTATTTGGAGGTATTCATTCTTTTTGATAGTAATGGGTTGGAGGCGTATATTTTCAGTTTTACTGGGAGGCCTAGAATGGTTTGAAATGGACCTTTGTTTCATTAATGGAAAAACAAAGACAAAAAGGCCCTCACCTAACAAGCTCTTGGCTGCTCCGTCCCACACCCAGGCTCTGGTGACCGGCTTGGGTACAGCGAGAGCAAGGGGCGATGGCCGCGAAGGAGCGACAGGGCAGAAACGGCAGAGGGGGGCGAGCGCTCAGGTTCACGCAAAGGCAGGTGGGTTCAAGAGGAGTGGAACCGCAACCCCTTAAACGTGAACTCTTCCGGGAAAACTACCACCCCCTCAGCTCTGCCCTCCCCGGCGATCTTCGCCCCTTCCCTACACCCCTCTCCGCCCCCGCCCAGGCGGCTCCCGGCGCTCACCTTTGCCCCTCTCTTGCACACTCCCCGCTCTCCAACCTCCACCCTCGCTTTCCCAGGCCGGCCCCTTTACGTCGCCTGGCCATTTCCCCTTATTGCCCTCTTTCTCTCGGGCCTCGGTTCAGTGTCTGAGGCCCGAAGATCTCGCCTTCCCAAACCAGACCCAGCCATCGCACGCCCTCAATGCCCCTCTGAAGATCTCGGTCTCCCTTGATGTCCAAGTCAGCCTGCGGAGGCCGAACCGGCTGTGCCTTGGGGGAGCAGGACCCGACCCCACCCGGCGACCCTTCCGTTCCCTCCACCTGGCCAAGCAGCCCCCCCGCCCCTCCTCGCTCCAGAAGTCGCTAGAGGAGGGGGTCGTGGCGGGTGCAGGCGAAAGACGCAAAGGTCCCAGAACCTAGAGGCCCCGCAACGCGCTCCCCTGCCCTCTCCTGCTCAGGCACAGCGGCGCTGCCCCCGGGAAATGAAAACGACCGCGGATACCCTGAGATGCGTCCTCCGCCCCGGGAACGCTCAGCTTCCTCTTCCCTCCCTCCCAATCCAGCTCGAGCTGGTGGCCCGACGGGGGTCTGGGCGAGAGCCCTAAACCCTGGCAAACTCGCCTACAGCCCCGAGACGCACGGCTGAAACTCGGGAGGGACTCTGGACTGCAAAGCCCCAGGAGGGAGGGGGAGAGGGAGCGGCGCCCGCTTGGAGCCAGGGGAGGGGTCTCCCGGAAGGGCGTCTCCTCCACCCGGGGTTCTCAACTCCCCGCCCCCTCGGGGGAGCTGTTGCATCAGCTTCGAGATTTCAAATTAAAGAAGGTGGTCTCCACCGGCTCAGGAAGATGTCGGGCAGCAGATCCGCCGCCAGGAGGCAGCACCTAACCAAATATGTCCGGGCTGAGTCTTGCCAGGGAGGCTGGAGTCCCCCAGGCACCTTTCGTCTGAAGAGTGTAGTGGCAGCGTGGACCCAACAAAAGAGGGAGTTGCTGGGCTAGTTCAATAAAAGAGATCTGGAAATGCTTCACCACGTTTTAAGACTAAAAGATGACTTGTAAATAATACAATTTCCTTTTGTATACCTTTTGGATAGTCCAGCTTTGGCATTTTTTAAAGCCAACATTGCCACTCCGCAGAGATTCACAAAGAACCACCCACCTTCAAGATGAGTCTGGGTGGAAAGGCATACAGCTTAAGAGACTTCCCAGCTGCCAGGCAAGAAAGAGAGTGTAGGCTGAAGTCATAATTTACCCATCTTGAAGCTATGTCACTTAACACAGGATTTAGCCTATACCCATTTAGCAGGGATTTGACGGCCATGGTAAAAGAAAAGGAATATGTTACAATAAATTAGGTAAGTAATAAGGAAATAATATGCAAAGCAATGTATTGTGTGAGTGGGTGGTTAGCCTTCAATTCACACACTTTTTGCATGGGGGTGACAGTGATTTGGTCCTTGAGCTGTCCTAAGGAGGAAGATAATGAAGGAACATGAAATAAGACACTTCCCAAATAGTTTGCTCTTCCTCAGCCTTAGAATTTGGTCACAAGCATGCAAAAAGGGGAAGAGGTTGCAAAATGAGATGGGTTTTGCTCTCCAGAGTCAGCTTCACTCATGTTCTTTCTCCAACATCATCATTATTCATTACAACAGTTAAAAAAAAGCACCTAATTTCCCAGAGCAGTGCACTTGTACAAAAGTTACTGTATACAGACCTGACAGAAGGATATTGGGATAAACATATTGGACCAAAACCGTAAGTGAATAACAAAGAGCAATATGAAGCATCAGGAATCGGAGCTTCATGTCTTTCCTCTCTTACTTAAACTCCTTTGCCTCTCAAGGGCATCATCGCCTATATTTGGCTTTAACATTTTAACTCCACACTTTGCCAGATGAAGTCCAAAGGTTGAAACACATCTAGTTAGGGATGATGAAGCTGCTTTCCTGTGGCTCATGAGTCTGATGAAGTCATTGAGGAGTGCTGTCCAAGTGCCAGACCTCTCTTGCAACAGTGTTCCGTGAGGTCCCTGAGAATGCTGATGATGTTAGCTGTCAGCACTAATGCTCTCTCTCAAAATCTTAACCCATATTTCCTGCTATTTACAACCCATGGATTGTCCCCCTGCCACATCACACTAACCACGTCAAAGACTGAACTTGTCTTCCTTCCAAAGACCTTTCTCCTCCCAGATTTCCCAGTTTCCTGATCAAACTTCCCATCCTGCCCCTGAAGTCCTCCAGCTCTGGCTGACTCCCACAGCTATTAAATTATTTCATGTGTTCACTTCTGCATGTGGAGTTCATATTGTCCACATTATTTGTCCACCTTAATGCATGTGCCGTTTTTTATGATTTTGCAAATCAGTAGTGTCCCCCTAGTGTGAGAGCTACTAGAAAATAGGAGTGTTGCTGCTTCAGTTCCTTTATACAGTGTTGGTGGTAGTGCCAGGCTATCATCTTTCCTGTCAATCTTGAATGTTGACACTGAGGTTATTTTTCCAATCCTCGGCTTCTACCCTTGATTCCCCAACTGTAAACTATGTAATGGGATCCAGTGCTGTCTACGTTAGCTGTCTATCTCAGAACCAGCCAGAGGCATATGGAGCCAGGTTTGGGAAGATGTCACTCCATTCTTACTGCAGTTGTAAAACAATAAATCCATAGCCATATTTTGGTGCAATTACCTGAAGATTGCACTCTGTACAATGATTCCTTCCTGGACTGTTTTACCTACTTCTTAGGTTTATTATGAAAATCATATGAAATCATTTATATGGAAGTGATTTGTTTTGATAAGTGAAAATGAAGAGTATGAATGTAAGATGGTTAACGGTACTCTTGTTTTATTTCCCTTGCTTAGTTTTTTGGGTCCATCTGCCAGCTTATAGCCAAGGTTCTTTTATTCCCATCCCTCTGGTTCAGCTTTAGCCTATACCATTCTTACTGTTATCTAAACAGCTGCTTTTGCTTCTTAAACCAGGATCCACCCTTCCCCCCTTTCAAAGCACAGCTCAGAGCCACCTCCTGTGGAAAAACTTCCCAGTCTTGCAAAAGGAAATGATAAACTTCCAGATAGGCCATTACACCACTCTCTCAGGTTGCCCTAGTCAGCATGTGTTTAAATGTCTAGCCTGGCACACAGTAATGGGCACTTTTGTAGGAGCTTCCCCATTTATAAAGCACTTTCACTTACATTATCATTCTTAAAATGTTTTTGCAAATGTGATATATTAAGCTTTTCTTTTAATGAAGAAATTAAGGATAAATGACTTCATGAAGGCAATTAAGTGATAAA